CCCGCCTCTGTCCGGCCCCATCACGCTCTCGCTTCGCCCCCTCGCCGCCCTCTGGCTGCTGCTCCATTTCTCAGCCTCCTTCACAGGAAGACGTAGGTGATGGCCCTCCTAGGCACCCGAGGCAGGGCACAGGACGGCCGGATCCCCTCCAGGGCGTGAGTTGAGAGAGGTGACAAAGAATCACTGTATTTCAGACTCAGATTTCGAGATGCATCTCCTTTGCATCATAACAGCTCTGAATGTGCCTACCCATGGGTGGGGTGTCCTCACTTAATTGGCAGCATTTTCTCTTTCGTAGTGGTTCATAAAACAGTAGTGCATCTTAAAACTGATGGCGTCGTAGAGTCAGTGGTGAGAGACAGGCTTGTGACCCAGTCCCGTGGGAAAGGCGTGCGCGGGAATCTCCTTAGTTCCCGAACTGTTTGAAGGCTCCAGGTGTCCATCCTTGGCGTGGAGCTACCCCGGACGTTTGCTGCATGCCACACCCATTCCGAAGACCCTAACTCAGTGAAGCTCAGCCCTGAGAGTGCCAGCTTAGCAACTTTAGTCTGCCCGAGGCAGCGAGGTGTCTCCCCCAGCTAGGCAGGTCTCTTCTCAACCCTGGGAGTGTAACATGAAATACAGACCCCCCTAGTGAAATACGACAATATTTTCCTCATCTCCCTTCCCTCTAAAATGATAGGGAAAGGATTTTATAAAGTCAGAAACCCCTGAAGACAAACAGGTGGACTATTGTGAAACTGGAGGAAGTGGACGGTGGGAGCTGCTTGGGCATACTGGAGGTCAGTGTCCAAGTCCAAGGGGTGGTTCATGAAAGTGCAGTTGTGAAAAGGGACTCCAGACCTCAACCCCTACCTGCAGTGGCTGGGAGGTGAGCTCCAGCAGAGGCGCTTTCAGGGTTGGCCATTGAGGGAAGGTCCTATTCCGTAAGTGGGGGAATAGGTGGAATCCCCACCCTGTCTGCCACGTCCATTCCTGGCCCCCAGCACGTGTCACCCACAGTCCTCAAAGAGATGTGCACCTCTCTGTAGTAGCTTCCAACTCAAAAGGAAAGCCTGGCAGCTGGGAGGTAGTCAGGAGAATGGCCTGGCTAGATCCCTGACCTCCACACTCACCAGGCAATAAGCCCCAACCACTAAGATCATCTCATTTCGCCCTTAAATGCAACTGGGCAACCCAGGATCACCAGACATGTGAGGAAGAGGACAAAAGCAAAAAAGGAAAAGGGGAGGGGACTCAATGAACAGAGCCAATAAAGCAAGCAGAAGAAGGAAAAGAGAACAGCTAAAACCATGTCCTCAGAGATGTTAGAGAGGATGTTGCATCCAGAAACAGTAAGAGGCCATGGCGGGGAGGGGATAGCTCAAAGGTGGAGCACGTGGTGCTTAGCATGCACAAGGTCCTGGGTTCAATCCCCAGTGCCTCCGTTATAAACAAACATACCTAATTACTTCCCTCCAAAAAGTAACAAATATAGTAATAAAATAAAACTAAAAAGAGGCTATAAGGAAAGAGCATTCAGCAGATGAGAAAGAGCACTTACAAATGAAAAATATGAGAGGCAAATGAACAGTTAAAGAGAAGGGCTGAAAGATAAAGTTAAAATCTTTCAGAATGAATGGCAACAACAAAAACCATGCAGCCAGAAAGCAGCGAATGGAGCCATAAGCATACTGGTCAGTCCTCCCAGTACTTGGAACTGGCCTGGTATCTCAGCGGTCTTCACAAGGCGGGGCTGGCTGGGACCTGCCACCACCACGGGGGAGGGGGTGCTTTTGTTTCTTCCTCGTGGCAGGTTCCCCTGTGAGATCAGGCCTTGAAGCAGTCAGAGCTCTCCTGTGCTGTGTGCACTGCTCCCTTTCCTGTTCAAAATGAACTCGCACAACCTCACAGCAGCCCCATGGAGTGGGTACCATTATTATCCCCATTTTTCGGGTGAGGAAGTGGAGGCACAGCCCAGTATCACACAGCAAGAGTGAAGCAGCAGAGGGGCTGCAGAGCCTATGCCCTGAACCAGCACTCAAAAAATAAGTCCAACATCTAATTAAGAGTTCCAGAAAATGAGGAGAGGAAAGAAATACCAAAAAGGCAGAGAAAATTTCCTAGAACTGAAGGGTTGGGATCTCTGGACAACAGATGAAAGAAAAGGTCTACATCAAAACAACATTGAAAATTTCCAAGGTACTTGGGTAAAGAGAAAATCGAGAGAGAGAGAGAGAGAGAGAGAGAGAGAGAGAGAGAGGGGAAGTCACAAAGGGTCAGAATTCCGAAAGGCATGGGAGTGCTTGGGACTAGACGGAAATGACATGATACCCTCAAAATCCTGGGAAGAAGTCCTCTTCAGCCTAGCCCGCATTTGTGCCGAGCTACACCCACAAGCGGACTTGTGAGTGGAATCAGGACAAATGGGCAAAGACGCCACAACCCCCTGTGCGTTCTCTCAGGGAACTGGGAGGGTTTTCCTCCTTCAGCAGAGAGCCAATGAAGGAAGAGGAAAGCAGGGATCCAGACGCGAGAGAAAGGACGCTGGTGAAGGACCAGCCCCTGCCGACAGCTGGGCCTCAGGCCCCAGAACAAGTCTGGGGCAGGGAGTTGGTGGGGTGGGGGCTCCCGGAAAAGATGAAAGTGGTCAATTATGCAACAAACGCCGAGTATTGAGAGGAGGTCCACACTTCTGCAGGAGGATCCAGGGAGGACTCAGTGAGACGTGTGTAGAAAACTAAGCTCCCCCAAAAGGCAATTATTAACTGCAGGGAAAACAAAAAGTTGTGCAAGAAATCAAATACAATCCTAGGACACTGCGTTCTCTGCCGGGACCTTGGGAGTGAAGCTGTGATAGTACCCATGACCCTGCACAGACATCTGTCACGCTGGGATGTTGCTGGTCAGGAGGGAGGCCAGTGACTCCCCTTCTCCCAGAGGACACCACAAGGACACTGAATGCCTAATGTAGAAAACCCAATGAAAACCATACATTTTTTAAACACCTGAAGAAACAGCTAAGAGTTGAATTTGGAAAGGATCAGGGTTGGAGACTGCATGTATTATTTATTTATTACTGGTCTAAAAAAATTCCACGTTAAAAGTAATATATATATAGCTTTGAAAAGATAAACGTTAAAATGAAAACCTCAGCATAGACATTACATGAAGCAATGGTAGCATTGATCCTTTTGACTTCGGTTTAATTGCCGGCAGTCTGTTACGCACTTGACACTCGCACTATTTAAGAAGATGCAGAATCAGACAGCTTAGCATCAGGACTGCCAACTGGATGTGAAAGTGATTTCAGACTGTAATTTTAAGTTGAAAGGTGTGAGAACTTGAATAATTTTGTAAAGAGTATTGGCATGTTTAAGGTAACTTGAGATTCACTATATTTATTTGTACATGGAATTATTTGAATGCCTTAGCAAGGTGTTCTGGGTTTTGGCTAGGGCGATGTTGTGGGTGGGTCACGGCCACCCCACCACCCCTGCAGAGATGTCCATGTCCTAACCCCAGAACCTGTGAATGTTACTTCACACAGTAAAAGGAATTTTGCAGATATGATTAAGATTAAGGACTTTGAGGTGGGGAACTTATCCTGGATTATCCGATGTACCTAACTTAGTCACTTGAAGCTTTCTTGCCTGCAGAAAAGCAGACATAGCTCATGAGAAAGACTCAATCTGATGTTGCTGGCTTTGATGATGGAGGAAGGGGCCACGAGCCAAGGGATGTAGCAGCCTCTAGAAGCTGAGAATGGCCTTCAGTTTACAGCAGGCAAGGAATGGGGACCTCAGCCCCATCACTGCAAGGAGATCAGTTCCTGCCCAGTGCCCAGAGCCATGCCTGACACCTGCCAGCCAACAACCCAAAGGAGCAGGCAATGGGTTCTCCCCCAGGACCTCCACAAAGACATTCAGTCTTGTTAACAACTTGGTTTTAGTCTGGTGGGATCTCTGGCAGACCTCTGACCTACAGAACTATAGAAATGTGTTGGTTTCAGCTACTGAGTTTGTAGTAAATTCTTATAGCAACAGAGAACTAATACAGCGGTAAGCCTTTCTTGTTTGACATTTGAAGCGCTTAAAAAGAAACCTGAATGCACTGAATTTATCCATGCAGATTAAAATGTTTGAGGATGATTAAGTTTGAAAATGGAGGGAGGCTGGTCCAAGAGAACCGAGGCTAGGGCAATGGGGAGAGACTGGGAACCAGGAACTGACATCCTTAGGACCCAGGGATGCAGCTGCCTGGGAGGAGATGAGAGAGGCGGGCTGGAGAGGAGGTAGGCGGGGAGGACACCTGACCCTGCCCACTCTGGGCTGAGGCCTGAGGAGAGAAACAGCGCTCAGGAGGAGCTGCAGGAGACAGGAGAGTGTCAGTGTCTGCAGAGGCAGCTGCAATGGAGAGTCTGAGGGGCTCCAGAGGGGGTCTCTCCTGGACAGGGGGTCGGGGGTGGGGGCCAAAGCCCCCTGGAGCTGGGAACCTGGGCTTCTCCGAGTGTCTCTGCCCTTTGCTTACCCTGCCAGGTCATGGCCCTGCCCCACGCCCAGCGGCGTGCCTGACACCTGCAGGTGCTTTACCATTCGATGAAGGTGGTGGTTCCTTGTGTGGGCCTGTGGTACCAACATGGGATGGACTGTCTCCCCAGGCATACGTCTGTCCAGGGCTGACCCCCAGCACCAGCACTGTGCCGTGGCTCCCCGCGGTCCAGGTACCCTCACACCAAGGGCTTGGTCACTGACCAGTGTCTGGCATGTAACTGAGGCCCGGAAATGAAGGAGGTGGGAGGGATGCTGGCTGCATGGAGGCTGGCTCCTTGCATCCTAAGGACCTGCTGGGCCTAGCCACTCTCCCTACCCCCACCCCCGGCTCCCTCGCCCCCTGATGGGCCCAACCCCACCACCCTCAGCCCACCCCTGGGCCCCTTGGAAGCTCACTAGAGGTGTTTGGTCCACAGCTTCCAGGCACACAGGCAGAAGGCAGCCCCTGGTCCCCCACCCTGACCCAGGGGCCAATGCTGAGCTTCCCCAAATGGGCCGTGGGCTGAGAGGTCTGGTTCCCGGGGCTAGGGGACTGAGGTGCATGATCAAAGTCATGGCTGAGTTCCGCGGTACTTGAGGAAGGTGCTGTCCAGGAAGGCAGCCAGCTTCGTCCGGTCATCCTGCAGGGTGAGAGGGAGGCATGGGGGGACGGAGGGGCGTGGCTCACCCTGCGCACCCTCCCAGGCTAGCTGCACCCAGCCTGCACACCTCATGGACGAAGCCGTAGTACACTAGCTCAGAGGCGAGGTCTTGGGCGCTGTCGGCTGTGGCAGGGGCGAGGGCAAGGGAGTGGGGACAAGGGGTGAGGCTGCAGCCCTGCCTGAGCAGCCCTGTCTCCGCCCCTGCCCAGGTTCCGTCCAGCCTACTTGGGAGCAGGTCATAAGTGAGCTGCCGGTGCAGCCGGTCCTCCAGCACCAGAAGCAGAGTGAGCTGGGGAGGCAGGAGGCTCAGTTGGCTCCAGGAGCCCGCCCCGCCCCTCCCCCTCCCTGGTGCCCCACGCTCACATGCCAGCGGGCCTTGTCCTCGCTTCTTTCCAAGTTACACTGCATCTGGATCACCTGGGGTGGGGGGGAGAGGCCAAGGTCACTCACAAAGGCAGGACCTCAGAAACTAAGCAGCATGGGCAAATACTGCCTCGAAGGGGCCCAGAAGGGGTAGCAAAGACTGGAAATGGAAGAAACCTCTAAGGGGAGCCTAGAAAGCACATCTCACTGCTAGTAGCCTGGTGAGTTAAGGAAAACGTCCAGACGAGTAGACATTGAAGCCGGGTACTGAAAAATGAATAGAGTTTTCGCAAGTGGAGAGAACACCTGAACAAAGAGCTGTGGGAAGCGGGGCAGAGAGATGTAGGCAGGGATGTGACAGGGCAGAAGTAGGCCACCAGGACCAGGGCTTAG